GAGCTCACTCGCTGAGAACTAGGAAAATAGAAGTTAGCTTAAAATTATATTGTTTTGTAGACATTTTCAAAATCTACACTTTCAAATAAACATCGTTCCAAAAAAATGGGCTTAAAGAAAGTTGTGAGTGCCGCAAGACTCTCAGAATTTTGACGATTTTTTCACTCACCTCCTCCTTCTTATACACCGTGTTAAACATTGGACCCATCGCATCCATCAATTGTATTCTCCACCGCTCCACATCCCAATTCCCACGTTTTTGAAATAGCTTCAATCCGAAAATCATCATTTTCAGCGTTTCCAGCAGCGAGTCAACAGCTAGAACGTAGAAACCTGACGGACCTGGAATAGGTACCGCACAGTGTTTAGCTCGATGAATCGCGAAAATGATGGTTCAGGAACATAAAAAAGGTCTCAAAATTTTTTTAAACATATTTTCATTTATCTCGGGTATTTTATTCACAAATTTACTGAAAAATAGTCTAATTTTTTACAACGGAACGGTGGATTACGGTAAGCAATTGCGTACTTTCTCCCCTTTCGTCTCCCGCTTTTGTGTCTCCCGCTTTCGTGTCTCCCGCTTTGGGTGTCTCCCGGATTCGTACGGTCTCGTCGTACCACCGAAATTATAGTGAGCAAGAGGCTTACTGTAGAAAATTAAAGGCGATTTTCGAAAACGCCGATTTATCTTATAGTTGATGCGCCTTTAATTTTCTACAGTAACCCCTCTTGCTCACTCTATTTTCTCAACCTATTTTTTCGGCAAAGAAATTCGATAAAAAGCGTTTTCAAAACACGAAAAAAATGTCGAAATTTCTGGAAATTCCGAGTTGTGCAACAACTCCGATGTGTCTTCATAGAGAAACATTATTCTACATTCTCGATGGATTCATTCAAGAGGTTTGTCGAAAACTATAATTTCGCTTCTTCAAGTTCTACTTTACAGGCTAAACAGAATATTTGCTCTTCTGAATACCCTCCAGGCGACCTAAAAGGACAAGAAACCAAATTAATTCAATTATTGATTGATAAATCGAATCAAACGCTTCGAATGTATGGATCGGCCCAGGAACTTTTGGAAAATATCAATATTTTCAAGGATTTTCCTGCAAATCACAAGTTTTTCGGTGCAGCTGAAGAGCCATATCAAGTAGAAATTTTTCTAGTCGTAAATAATAAATTGCAAAAAAAATTTAGACTCGTCCGACTATCTTCAAAAGTTTGAAGGATGAGGAATACATTGCCAAGCAAGATCTTTTTGTAATTCTTCAGAATATGATTCTTAGTGTAAGCCGAGAATGGCCAATTGAACTAGTACATTTGTTCGCATATTATTTGAAAGCTAGAGAGGAAAATGTTGAAAAATGTGTGGAATTTGTGAAGTTCGATAAGAAATTTATTGATTCCATGAAGAATAGGCTCACTGAGGCCATGGGAACCTCTCAACATTCGGTAAGACATCGGGGCATATCAACAGACACAACAAATCTAAAATTTCAGCCAGCTAAACATCAGCAGCTTGTCAAAGAATTTTCGAAACTGAATTTGTCTCAAATCATCGCAAAATTCGAACACCTCATTCCTTCGAAGCTGAACCCAGATCAACACCAACGTCTTCAAGTGTTTCTCGGACGCTTTTTCAATAGTATGCCATTGAGAAATCGTAATGATGGAATGTTGATGAGCTATTTGTTTGCCAGTCTAATCATCGAATCTCTTGAAACTGTTGTTGATGAGAATCTGGAGATGTTCTCGCCACGTCACCAAGATTCTAAGCAGCCAGTGACAGTCAGAGTCTTTGAAGATGGAGATCAACAATTTCTGATGAAAACTTCTTTAAAATCAGTCGTTTTGGAGACCATAACAATGGAGCAATTTCTCGACAATTATGGAATCACTAACAATATCGAGGTATGCGCAAATTTGAAAAATCAATAATCCAGATTTTTCTTTCAGTTCATTCGCTATCCAATCACTAGAGTCAAGCACCGAGCTACTCCGATTCAAGGACCTTCTGGAAGTTTCTACATTCTTGCTATCGACTTCTTTTTCGAGCTTATGAGAGAATTGATTTTTGATAAAAAGTATTTCCAAAAGCTCAAGCCCGCCGATCTTCCTGAATTTCTCCAAAATAATTTCAACGAATCCGGCAAAATTTTCTTCCCAATTAATGTAATTGTTTAAAGATTTACCATTCAAAAAAACCTATTTTTAAGAGCCTATATTTTATTGAAACCGGCACGCTTCTACCGTTCTGGATTGATGAAAAATCGAAGAATGTTCAAGCCAAAGAAGTCAGAAACGCCAAAAAAGACGGATTCACTGTTCAAAACCTGAAGAACGAATTGGTTCGTTTGGGTCTCACCACGACTTTTCCAGATATTCAGGATTATGCAGAAGGGGTGTATCTTGCAGCGGACAAGAACAAAAAAGAAAAGTTCCTGAGAACTTGCGATCTATTTGACGCTATTGAGCACTGTCAACTCATTTGTATTCTGGAGAGATCTCTGAATGTAAGTGCGCTCTGTTGACAAAGAAAAATTGAATTTATTTTTTTTAGCTCAGAAAGTTCGTGCACAATCAGAAAGGATGTCATCGAGTTTATGGATTCGTATGCGGTTTTTGTCTTCTTGAAAAGCTACAAACGTTGGCCATTCAGGATTCCGAGGGACCTTCTGGAATTCATTGAGCTAGACTCAAACTTGTTAACTTTGTTTTACCTTGTTTTTGTTCTTATTTTTGTTGTCTGTCTCTTTTTTTTTCAATGAACAATTTGGGCGAATGCTCTTTTTTAAGGCGCATCGTCGGATCAGCAGCGAAAAAGCAAAATTTTTTGAATTTGGTGCCATTTTTTGGATGAACCTAATGGGTTCACAATTCAAAATTTGGAGAACGAATTGAATTATTTGGGTCTCACCACTAATTTTCCGCAAATTCAGAATTACGCTGAAAAGGTGTTTTCTGAAGTTGAAAAACGCAAAAAAGAAAGCGTCCTGAGAACCTGCGACTTGTTTGATGCTGTTGAACACTGTCAACTGCTTTGTATTTTATTTATGTAACCGGGCGGTGGCTTCCTCTTTGCCCCCGTAGCTCAGTCGGTAGCGGCGCCGCACCCTCAATCCTCGCCCCTACAAGTTCAACTCCTCGAGGGGCGTATGTAAATGGAATTTCGAGCAATTTATTTTTTTTCATGTCCTCCCACCTTTAAAGGCGCATCACGAAATTGTTAACAGAAAAATGTAAAGACATTAGGCATGTCAGATTACACAATTAGAAAAATTATTTAACAACACATTTTAAACAGTTTGTAACAAAACGAAACAATTCGGATTCTAGGTTTCAGAACTTCGGGATGTCTCCATTGCAAGCCGGACAGTCTTTGTGCTCTTTGAGCAAAGTGATTGCACACTGAAATATTTCACAAGTTTTAAAAAATCAATTATTCAATTAAAAACCTTCGAATGGAATCTTCCGGATTCTAGGTACACAATGGCATCTGATAATTTGATCTTCTCCAGATTCAATTGATTTTTCGCAGATGAGACATCGGATTTTCTGTGGAGAAATTTTGGATGTGCCGACAGTACCGTAGTCAACCGATAATTCGGATTTTGCCAATTTATCGGTCAACTGCTTCATCTGCACGTCATCCGTCTCATTCTTGACAGATAATTTAAAATTTTTCTGCTGTAATTCTCCAATTTCCAGCGATTTTTCCTGATCTTCTTCGAGCATTTTCAGATGAGAGATCTTCAAATCGGCTAACTCTTTTTCCAGAATCGCCAGCTTTTGATCTTTTTGAGTTTTTGAATTTTCAGCATCACACTGCTCACATTTCCTACCATAAACTCTGTGACATCCTTTCTGGCTGTGAACGAACTTTTTGAGCTGAAAAAGAGAATTCGAATTCTATATCAATAGAGCGCACTTACCTTTGGAAGTCTGTCGCGGTGTCGTGAGGTATGCCGTTTTCATCGTATGCAAATGGTTGCGCGTGAGAAAGTATGGGTTTTTCTGAAAGTTCATGGCCTAAGATTGGTTGTCTAGGCCGCCGACCTCCTCGGGCTTGAATCCTATTTCCCATCCAAAAAACATCTGCACAGCCAGACTCCAATCGGGCATTCGTTGGAAGAATCGGAAGCCAAGAATCAGATTTTTTAGCAAATCGAAAAAACCGTCAACTGCAAGAACACAGAATCACATGTTGTTTAGTGGACCTTGAATTGGGACGGCTTTATCTTTGGCACGTAGAATTGGGTAGCGGATGAACTGCAAATGTGCTCTATTGGACAAAAAAAAGAAGGATTTTTGAATATTAGAAACCTCAATATCTCTTTTTGATCTCCAAACTTCTCCTGAACGTCTTCCAATGTCATAGCTGCTTCAACGAACATTCCGACCTCATGAAATTCGATTTTTGTCGATTTTACAGATTCATTGATCGCATTAAATAGCTCCGCCTTCATTACAAATCGTTGTTATCCTCCACGGTCTTCGAATAGTCTTACTGTAGGCTTTGGGCCACCCGCCGAGAAAATCTCCAAGCGACAATTGATTATTCTTTGCAGCAAATTCACTATCCTCTCTGTAGTGCAGTACAAAATAGTGAGAAGATATGCGAAATTAGGGATCATGTGGAATTCCAAAAGATAACTTCGAAGGTTAATCTCGAAAATTTCGGACTCTGAATCTTGCCAATCGATTTTTATCGAGTTTTTGAACTTCAAAAGAAGCCTGGGAAACTCGAGTTTCATAATTTCGGTCATCATTGGAAGTCTTACATCGGTCCCAAAAGTTTTGATATCATCTTGTATTTCTTTTTTAATCGAATCGAAAACTTTCGGGTTATATATCACAAATTCACATTTATCGAGATTCTTCAGCTCCTGAGATCGTAAGAAAATTGCCAGAAGGGAGCGAAAGATTTTGGGTTTCTGAAACAGTTGTCAATAGAGCGTATTTGCTATTTTTATAAAAGAAGTTTTTACTTCAAATTGATAAACTTCTAGTGTTAGCTTTTGAAGTATCACATAGGCATCTGATTTGCAGATATATTTTTCACCCTTCAGACTACGGTAGATCGATGGACTAGTCTGGAAAATACAAATATTATCATTAGAGCGAATTTGCGGAAATACATAGTATGGGTACAAGAGATATGCATGTGTATCAGCATATACGCCACTACCGGGACAGCTTCTGAAGATTTTTGGATTTCCTGTAAGCTCTTTGGGCGATCCGTACATTCCTTCACAAAAAAATTAATTTAGCGAGGAGCATATTAACAATTGCTTACTTATTAGAGGGAAATTAGCATGTTCAAATAATTTAGAAATTAGATCCTCTCCATTATCTGTCACATAGACTTGGCGCTTTGAATGTTGAATGTTGGCGCTTTGAATGTTGAAATACTCGGCAACATTTTGGCTGTTAACTAAAAGAAGAACGCTCCATTGATTTGTCAGTCCAGCCCTCTTACATCAAACAAAACATAATCCAAAGTTGAAAGAAGTACGCATTCAGAAGGTATCTCAGCATTCGGACTGTTCGGATTCATTTTTAGGTTAGCAGGAATTCTGAAAAATCCAAAAAAAACACGTTGAAAAAAGTTTCTGTACGATTTCGGGTGGTGGTGTTTGTGGACTTCGCACTTTTTGCTTTTCGGCGATTCTTGAGATATATTTCACTGAAATTTAGTACTCTTTTGCATAAAATTTTGCAGAGAATATTTTGAAACTAGCCCGACATTTTTTTTCAACCCTGACTGTTACCCAAAACTAGTGTGCTGTGTCGATTGTTGACAATCGACAAAAATCGACGAAAATCGTTAAAATCGGTGTCGATTTCGTCGACTCGATCAAAAATCGACATTCAAAAAGTCGACAGAAAATCGACTTTTCAAAAGTCGATGAAAGCGAAAATCGACAAAAGTCGATTTTTGTCGATTTTGAATCGACTCAAAATCGACAAGAATCGACGAAAAGTCGACGAAAAAATCGACTTTTGTCGACTTTACTGTCCGAGAGAACTACACGGCCGGTGACCTAGAAACTGCCTGTGGCCGGGGTATTTTTCGTGAAAAACAGGCATTTTTCATCGAATTTTCTACTGAAAAACCTATTTTCCTTGTTTTTTTTTGGGTGTTTTGTTTTTTTTTTCTGTTTCATTTATGACATTCTTGCTTATTGCAGATGAATTCGTCACAAAATCAATCTAAAGCGTGGCGATACTTCAAAAAACAAAATAACGGACAAACTGTGACCTGTAAACTGTGCGGAAGGAGCATAAAGTTCCATTCTTCGACCACAACGATGCATCAGCACTTAAACAGTCACCACGAGAAAGAAGTTGTAGAAATGGAAAGATCGGAAAGCAGAAAATTATATATTTATCGTTAAATTCTTAATTTTAGTTAGTACATAAAGATCAAGAGCCACGGCATCAAATAGTTGGAAAAAATCACTTTGGAGTAAGATATTAAAGCTTATTTTTCCTCAAAATCTGATTTTTCTTCAGATCTACGAAGAAGAATACGTCGACAATAGAAGAGTACGAATATGATGACGAGAATGATGACTCAGAAGGCGTAGAATATTACGATTCCAGAGAGCATAACGGTGATACTTTTGGAAACGATTTGGCCCAAATAATGAAACATTAATTCCTAATGCTGAACTTTGTTCTTCTGTTTCTTCTCTTTTTCAAAATTTTGTCGCTTTGAATTTTCTTCTAATTTCGTTGCCATCTTCTGAATACTGATTCTCTATTTTGTACCCCGTTGAAATTAAGTTTTACACTATTTGTTTTTTTATTCATAAAAATAAAGTTGTTACTCTACACAAAAAATGATTTCTTCAAAAAATTAGAAAAAAATTTTCTCGAAGTGAAATTTTACTTTGTAGTCCGGAAAAGTCGATTTTTCGTCGACTTTTGTCGACTTTTTGTCGACTTTTGTCGATTTTTCTGTCGATTTTAAGTCGACGCAAAATCGACAAAAGTCGATTCTTGCCGATTTCTGTCGATTTCCGTCGACGCAAAATCGACAAGAATCGATTTTCGTCGACTGAAAGTCGACAAAAATCGACAACGAAAAGTTCGATTTTTATCGACAAATAGCCTTGTCGAATTGTTGAATGTCGACTGTGTCGATTTTCAAAGTCGACAAAAATCATCGATTTTCGAGTCGACTCGGCACTCTACCCAAAACCGTGTTTTGAAAGCTTGAAAAATCATATTAAAAAGTTGAGTGCAGTTTTGCGTAATTGTGTTTGCGGACATTCATTTTTTCAACGAATTTCAGAATTTTTCTTTCAGTTTTTTCACTCAAAAAACTCTCTAATTCAACGTTTTTTTGCAGAAATATGTCACAATTTTTCAAAAATCCTGCGAAGTGTGACATTTCGTGTGATTATGTGAAGGATTATGTGATTTATGGGGTAAAAATCGCCTTTTTGCCTCCCAATTTCTAAAAAAATTGTTCCAGCTCCAAAAATTCGTCTCTGAAAGCGTTTGTCGGAGTTTTGATGAGCCCGGTGACAATGGGAAAATGTATATACAGAGAATTCTGAAACATTCTGGCAACAAATTCCGAATGTACGGATCCGCAGACGAGCTGACCGAGGAAATTCGAAAATTCAAGAATTTTCCGGAAACCTATCGATTATTTGGCGATCAATATTTCTCATTGAATGTACATAATCTTTTTTTTTTGAATATCGATTTTTTTCTTGATTTTCAGACCCCAGAAATCTACTACAGCCTAAACCGAAAGAAGCGTTTTATCAACAGGGCAGATTTATATGTGCTCCTTCATAATATGATAATTTCCACTATAAAACATGAGGCCCCGAAATATTTCCAAGCCAGTGTCGAAAAATTGATTCTGGAGCTAGTTCCACCGCCCGGCGGGCCGGTAGAACACGTGGAATTGGGGAAAATCGATTTTCGAGGGATTCTGGAGCATATTCAGAGGCTTTATAAGCTTTCAAAGAATTTTGTGAGACAAAAAAATCTGGAAAATTCGGGGAAAATCGATTTTATTGATTTTTTAGAGCCAAAATGAGCTGGGAGAGTTCGATATTTTCGATGATTTGGATTATGAAGAGAGGAAGAAATTCGATAAAATCGATAAGAAAAAGACGAGAAAATCCCAAAAAGATGAGATTTTACAGCGATTTTTAGATGCAAAATTTTTGGATAGTCTGGAAGAGATAATCGATAAATTTGAGGATATTTTTGAAGTATTTTTTTCCCTAAAAATCGATTATTCAATCATCGATTTTTGCAGTTTGGTTATAGCCCCCAAACTATTCGAGTTTTCGAGGACGGCAAAAATTCGAAATTTGTGATCCGAAGAGAGATTTTTGAGGCGATAAATTTGAATTCAGAATATTCAGAAGGCATTGAATATGACGATGAAAAGGAGAATATCTCTAGAACTATCGATTTTAGAGATTTGAAAAATCTTTTTGGGGAGCGATTGGGGGATATTGAGGTTTTTTTTAATATGAAGAATTTGGCGGGAATTTGAAAATTTCGAATTTGGATTTTTTTGAAATTCAGAAATTATTCAAAAATCTCGAAATTTATAAATTTAGAGAAAATTCCAGGAAAGTAAAAAAATTTCAGAAAATTTTGAATTTTTGAAAATTCTAGAAAATTTCTATAAGTCAAAATTTCTGAAGTTCAGAAATTTGAAATTTAGGAATTTCTGGAGAATTTCATAAAATTCAGAAATTACAGAAAAATTTCCTATTTTTTGAAATTTTTAGAAATTCCAGAAGGAAAAACCACGAAATTGTGAAATTCAGAAATTTGGAAAGTTCCAAAATTTTGAAATTTTTCAGAAATTCCGAAATTCAGAAATTTGGAAAGTTCCTTAATTTAGGAATTCAGAATTCCTAAAATCCAGATTTTTCTCAAATTTCGAACTTCCAAATTTCTGAATTTCTTGAATTTTATGAAAATTGCTGAGATTTGGTAATTTGAACATTTCCAGAATACAGGAATTCTGATAATTCCAAAAATTGTTAAATCAAAAATATTCAAAAATTGTAAAATTTGGTTTACAAATTTCTGAAATTCAGCTTTGGAAATTTAGAAAAAATTCCATAAAATTTCGAAATTCAAGTTTTTAAAATTCAAAACTTCAAAAATTTCAGAAAATTCTGCAAAATTCAAATTAGAAAATTCCAGGATTTCCAGAAAATTTCGTAAAATTAAAAGTTTACAATTTGAGAAAATTCGGGAACTTTGAAAAAACGACATTCAAAATTTTCGAAAATCCAGACAGTTCTGAAATTTGGAAATACCAAAAATTCGAAATTTTAAAGATATTNCTAGAATTTTCATTAAAATCCAGAAAATTCAAAATTTGAAAAATTACAGAAATTCCAGAAATAAAATTGATAAAATTCCGCAAATTCCAGAAAATTTCGAAATTCGGAAATTTGAAAATTTTCAGAATTAAAAAAAAACAAAAAATTGAATTTTCACGAAATTTCTGAAAAATTCCCGAGCTCAGAAACTTCTAGAATTTCAGCATTTCCAAGAAAAAATGTTTCAGAAAATTTCGAAATTTCAATTTTTGAAAATTCAAATTCCCGCCAATTTTCTACCAAAGTTCTCAATAGAGCGTATTTTCGTCTTTTTTCCAGTTCATCCGCGTCCCGATCCGTCGAACGAAACACAAAGCCGTCTACATCCAAGGACCCAGCCGAGAAATACTGTACATTCTAATCCAAGATGCATTTTTTGAAATTCTGAAATTTCTTATCCATGGAGCGAAGTTGTTCCAAAAGTGTCACAAAAAAGAGGAAATTTTGAAATTGCTCACCGAATTTTTTCAAGTTTTTCATAGTGATTTTGTTAGTTTTTTTTTGAATTTTTTTAGAAAATCGGAATTTTCAAAAAATTCAAAAAATCGATATTTCAGGACTGCAAATGCTTCATCGCAGTTATCCATATGCAAAAACTAAAAGAGAATCTTTTCTCGAATTTTCAAATAATCAATAATCGAAAAATCAAAGAAATTCGAGATGTCTCTGGATTCAGCCAACGAGATTTAGAATCAGAGCTACAGTATCTGGGTCTCACAACGACGTTTCCGGAAATTCGAAATTTCGCGGAATTGGTGTATTCTGAAGTGGATAGAAATAAAAGGGAGCGAATTCTGAGAACGTGCGATATGTTCGACGCCGTTGAGCAGTGCCAAATTATCTGCTTTTTGAATATGTTCCCGGAAGTACGGATTATTGATTTTTTCCTTTTTTTTTGGGAGAAAAACGAAGAAAAATAGACAAAAATAGCGATTTTTAAGCCTAAAAACGTGATATAAGATTGACATTTTTCACTACTAAAAGTCGATATTTTGGACGAAAAAAATCCAGGTCATGACCCAATTTTCTGTTGAAATCGTGACCTAGAATATTTGAAAAATTAGGTCACGACCTAATTTTTTCTAGGTCATGACCCACTTCTTTCTAGGTCATGACCTAAATATTTTATAGGTCACGACATAATTTTTTTCTAGGTCATAACCTAATTTTTTCTATGTCATGACCCATTTTTTTCTAGGTCATGACCTAGATATTTTATAGGTCACGACATAATTTTTCTAGGTCATGACCTAGTTTTTTTTAGGTCATGACCTATATTTTCTGGGTCATGACCAGTTTTTTCTAGGTCATGACCTAGTTATTTCTAGGTCATGACCCAAATTTTTGCAGATTTTAAATTTTTTTTTCCAGCTCAAATACTTCCTTCACGACCAAGAAGCGTGTCATCGTGTCGTCGGGCTGAAATGCATGGAATGTGAAAAGGAAATTGCTGAAAAAATGCAAGAAGCTGCTGAAAATGCGAAAATATCGCCGATTTTCTATGAAAATCTCTCGAAAAATGAGGAAGAAAATGAGGAAATTTTGAATGAAACGATGAGAATTAGCGATTCAGAAGACGAAAATCCCGAAGACGTCGATTTGGTGACGTGGGAGATTGTGGAAGCGGCGGAAATTCCGAATTTAG